TATTTATTTAATGAGAAAATTTTCATACCTTGAACCAATAACAAAAATATTTAAAATTGTTTCACAAGATTGAAGGCGTTTGTTTCAAAAAATTAAATTGATATAAATTCAAAAGATTAAAAAATAATAAAAATAATATAAAAAATATAATATAAAAATAAAAAGTTAAATATTTTTTTTAATTCTTATATTTTCACTTATTTTATTTTTTAGTTTCTATACCTTAAAATATATATGTTTAAAAAAATTTAAATTTATTTATTTATAATCAGTTTAGTTTCTATAGTTTAATATAAAAAAATATTGAAAAAGTTAAGTATATGAGCTTAAAAAAATAAAAAGTATAACATGGTCAAAGTCCCTTGGTGAGTTTGAGTTTTGAGATTCCACAACACAACAACCTGCGAACCGCGAAGTCATCAAGGTGTGGCTGGGTTGCACTTCAACTTCTTTCACCTGTCCATGGAAACATCTTCATCTTCATCTTCATCTTCATCCATGTCCAATAAGACCATAACCTTCGAAGAATGGAACGGTTCATCCCCCACCAAGCTCTCAAAGACTTTCACCATCAAGGCTTCTTCTTCCTCTGTCACCATTTCAAGGTACTTCCCTTTCCTATCATCATCATCATCATCATTATTCATCACACTCTCTCACACACTTATTCTTTCTCCTTCTACACAGATCTGGTGCCCGATTTACCCATGTTTGGAGACGCTTACTTCAGGCATTTGTCCCTGAGGCAAGCTTCTATTTTTCCTCAATATCTTCTCTAAAAGATAAAAAAAAAAAAATTGAAATTTTATATGCCATTACTATTTCGTCATGTGGGTTTTCTTTAAGTTCATCATTGTAACAAAGGGTTTCTTATTTTTTTGATGTTGTTGGTAACATACAGGGTTTTCCAAGCAGTGTGACTGCAGATTATGTTCCTTTTCAAATATGGGATTCATTGCAGGTAACACACAATGAAGAAACAGTGTAATTGAGTTATTGTTGTGAGTAAATAATGGTTTTTTTGCACTGTAATCTGATCACAATTTGTCATGTATAACTGGGTTATTATTATGAGTACTTAATACTTTTTACACTGTAATCTAATTACAAATTGTCATATACGGAAAGTTGTTGTAACTTGTAACAATAACTACAACTTATCATATTTTTGATTAGTTGACATTGTTTAAAAAAAAATTATACTAATATTGCATATAGATTAAACTCTATTGTTATATTAAAACAATGTTGTAGTTCTTGAGTTAATTATGGATTGGTTATGGCAGGGCCTTTCAACGTATATAAGGACCATGCTTTCTACCCAGGTAAGTAACTGTTTAACTGGTTTTTTTATGTTGTAGTTGTTGTCATAAAATGGCTAGAATAGTACATGAGTGGTCAATGAAATTCGTTTCAGGCTCTCTTGAGTGCTATTGGGGTTGGTGAGAAATCAGCTACTGTCATTGGTGCCACTTTTCAGGTATCAGCTAGTTATGTTATGTATTTAACAAGAGTAATGATTGAAACCAAGTTTGCTACATGGGGCTTGGGAGAAGAAGCCCCAAGCCTTTTTTGTTTCCTTTATTTGTTTGGTACATATAAAGTCTGATTGGATATAAGTGTTTCTGAGAGCTTCTCTATTGGAAAATATTCTTTATTTTCAGTAGAGAAACTCTCAAAAATACTTTTAAGCTTGTATCCAAACATGTTCACTATCTTTTGTGTTTCTTAGACCACAATGTGTGATGTGTTGACAGTATGATATTGAATTTTGAATCTGTTTCCAGTGGTTTTTGAGGGATCTAACTGGTATGCTTGGAGGAATCCTATTCACATTTTACCAGGTCTGCATCTCTCCTACAAACATGTTCCTTTATCTTATTAATTTTGTACTGAAATGTGTGGTACTAACTTTATGTGGACCATCTGATACTTGGATTGACATATGCTGGTTCTCTCCTCTCTAATGATACTTAAATCATGTTTTAAATTATATTTATATTTATCCTATATGCTGCAGGGATCAAATCTTGACAGCAATGCAAAAAGGTGGCGTTTGGTTGCAGATCTTATGAATGACCTTGGTATAGTCTTTCACATTCATCTTTTTTCAAAAAACTATAATAAATTGTGCAGACATTTCCTACATGCTATCTCTCTGTCTGAAGTATAGACAGGCCAGAAAAAGATTTACATAGTGAGTCTTGGTTTACTAGTAAGTAGAATAAAGGATTGAGATCAGAAATAAACAAGTTGATAGAAACAGAAGGGATCTTGTATCTGGAATTTTATGGATAAATTTGTCGACAAATTCTTTAAAAATTAGTAAATTTCCGTTAAATCATTTGGGTGCAAAAGCTACTGGAATGTTTTAAAGTTTCCACAAAGATTGAACGTTGATGCTAACATGTGTCTCAGTCTCCGCATACCACAGAATAACTTTGTTACAACAAATACTTGATATATGTAACTCCATTCCAGATTTGCTACAGTGCCACAATTAATGAGATTTATCAAATGCCCAGTTTTAATCAAAATACTCATATATAGCTTTTGGGCTATATATTTATAGTAGGCTTCCGTTCTACATTGTCAATTATTTAAATGGAAACTTTTATATTTGCAGGATATGTCAGTTGTTTGAATGGAATTAGTTTTCATCTGAACACTGTCCTGGTTATGCATTAGCAATGTCTTCCAGATTGATTGACTTTGTTGAATTAGTTTCTTTTCTGTTCTCAACTGAAAAATACTGTCGCAGATTTGCATTCATTAATATCATTATAGCTTTGATTTTGTGCATTGTAGGTAGAGCAATATATGCACTTCTTGTGGGTATATTGATAATATACTTAGCTATAAGAAAAGGAGAAATTCTACTTGAAATGCTTTACTTGGCTACTAATGTCTAATTCTCTTGATATTTGCTTCATTAAACTAAAAATTAGTAGCAGCTAAATAGTGTTTTTTTTAAGATGCTGCTTTGTGTTAAATTTGATCTTTCATATTGCATTCTTCATAGCTCACATCGATTTGTTAAGGTTTTTGAATTGTTTGCAGGAATGCTAATGGACCTCATTTCTCCATTGTTTCCATCAGCTTTTGTGTTTGTTGTTTGCTTAGGAAGCATATCGAGATCTTTCAGTAAGTTCCATCATTGCTGGAAGTTCAAAATTAAATCAATAATGTGATTTAGAGTTAGTTGCTAGCTGTAGGTTTTTTTCCTCTTCTTTTTTTCCATATAATATAAGGTAATGGACTCTGAAGCACAGGTGCTTCAAAATTTATGCCGAACACGTATTGGGTCCGTACCTGTACCTGGTACACATGGGTTACTTACGGGTATGTACCCAAAATATATTTTTGGATACATAAGTACCCAAAATATATTTTTGGATACGTATCAGAGCCATACCAAGTCCAATAAATAAAAACTATTTCTTTCAACAAAAAATTTAGGTTTTCTATTAATCTTATTTTCCCCAAAAACACAATTTTTATCCACAAGTGACACAACACGGCTCATCAAAAACTTAAGATAGTTGTTATACATATAAATCTCCATCTCCTCTCAAAAATGAATAAGAGTTATAAATAGGATTAGAACAAAATGTGGAATATTGGTGTTTGATAAATAGGTACTGTACTCGTACCTGTAACATTACACATTACATGATTTGTCATTTCTTAGTCAATAAAGCTGTTAGGCAGAAATATATGTTTTGAGTTATCCATGATTAAGACATTTTTTTTCCTTTATTTCCTGATTGATATTTTATTTGTGTACTAATTTTTTTATTTTTTTGTTTATATTTGTATATCAAAATATGATTTTGAACTAGCTGGTGTTGCAAGTGGAGCCACTAGAGCAGCTTTGACTCAGCATTTTGCTCTGCAGGATAATGCTGCAGACATATCTGCAAAGGTACAAGTTACAATTATTCCAACTCTTTAGATCATTATCTCAGGATTAAGTCTTTGTTCAGTTGGGCATATTTTTGTTTTCTATATATGTATATTTTGACTTGTTAACATTTATCTATAGGAAGGAAGTCAAGAAACTGTGGCCACAATGATTGGCATGGCATTGGGAATGCTTGTTGCTCGCATCACCATTGGACACCCACTAGCCATTTGGTTTTCTTTTCTGTCTTTGACCGTGTTTCATATGTATGGTACGTCTCTAAATTGTAATTTGTTTTATGTACATCCTTTGCATTGTAGAATTGTGAAGAAGGGCCTGATATTAGGTATAAACCAGTCTCTGTGATACTGCTAGGGTATATTAGGTTATAGCTTGATAGTATTACTCCCATAGTTCCAAAATAATTGTCACAAAAGAAGAACAAATTTGACCCAAAAAATTTGTCATTTTAACTTTTCAAGGTTGTATTAATTACTTTTTTTCCATTTATATCCTTATTAACAAGGTTCCCTCATCTATTTATTACATTTTGTAAGACTAAATAAGGTTAATTTTGTAAGGTTATCATTTTCTCTCATCTATTTATTACTTTTTTTTTTAGTCTGTAAAACACCCAGTATTGACAAATATTTTGGGACTTAGGGAGTAGCTTGCAAACAGTGATACAGTTAATCCATTTCCTTACCAGTGTGTTTGGTACAAATAGGTAATCCATTTTATTCTAGGATAGACTATATAAACAACGTTTGCTTGTTTATTGTGACTAATCTTTATATATTGTGGAATATTTGTAGGTGGTTTGTGATAGAATGAAGATTGAATTTCTATTGTCTTACAAAGCTTAAGCTTATTAGTTATTAATGAGATTGTACTATATTACTTTACTTCCTCAGCAATTGAAAACATTATCTGCCCACCTTAAATTAATTGCATCTTTTTTGTGAAGTTAGAGGGCTCATAATTTTATTCTGAAGGTATATGGCAGCTTTTTTCTAGGCATAGTTCCCTTCCCCCCAAAATACACGGGCCAAATTTGAGCACCAGCATTATATATGAAAACCTGATAATGAAAATGATGTCCCTTTTCCGTGCAGCAAACTACCGAGCTGTTCGATGCCTGGCACTGAACTCGTTAAACCCTGAAAGGAGCTCTATTCTTTTGCAGCATTTCATGGGGACTGGCCAAGGTATTGTCTGTTTCCATTCTTCATTCCTTATATCCGCAACATATCTTTGATGTTTGATGATCTATTCTGCTTTTCAATCATACCATAAAATTTGCCTCATCTTGGAACAAGTTTTTGTTACCTTGAGATCATTATAGTCTATTTTTCAATTTTTTTGAGGTCTCTGTCTGGTGTATCTTTAACCGCTTCCTCAACCACCTCCCAAAAGTTTAAAGGGAAATCTAGTTTCCAATATTCAAAAGCTACCTTAATCTTTTTTAATTTTCGCTATGTATATTAATGCTTGCTTCTAAACTTTCTGCCAGTTCTCTCCCCTGAACAGGTCTCTTCACAGGAGAGTGTTTTACCCTTACAGATCATTTCATGGAGCTCAAAGAATGCTAATTCTCTGCATAAGAAAGTACGTTTAGGCATGAGGGTTTCTTCATTCGATAACATGGAAATGTGAGTGGCTAAAATTTGGTCCAACTCTGAGTCCCAATCCATTTAGAAAATACATTTGTTCTTAGTGCATCTATATTCTTGCATCTGTGTGTAGTTTTACCTGAACTACTTATTCGCTGCATTATTAGTATTTTCCATAGCCCAAATCCAAATAGCATTCAAGGTAAATGGTACACTATATTGTGTTCTAACTTCTAATAGCCCAAATCATAATATTTCACTATCATCATTAGCTAACAAAGCACCAGAGAGTAACCTATTTAAGATTGAAAGCATTAGTTAGCTCTTGCACTGTTATATCACTGGTATTGGCTCAAAAGTCAAAACTTGAGCTGTCCATGATCGAGACTTGATTATTGTGCAATAGTATATGCTTGAGACTTGAAATGTAATTAACAAAGCTTAATGAGCAAATTCTTTTTTCTCTGACACTGACAGCAAGGAGCATTTGCTTTCTGCAGCACCTTACTACACAAAAGGTGGATTGTGCCTCTTATTATTTTTTTTTTTTTTAACTTCTGAATTTCCCCTTTCCATTTGAAGTGTTAAACCTTATATCATTTTTGTTGTTTCTGTATATAGCTAAGTATTTACTTGTGGAAAGGAAGGGAATCGTTGATGTTATTGTGCATAAGGATTCAAATGCAGCTGATGTCCTAAAGTCATTCTTTCATGCTCTCGTCTTGGGAAAGAATGTTCATAAAAGCAAATCTTTGCATTCAGATGGCCAAAAGTGGATAGATAATCAATATGAAGTATTTATTCAGAAGGTAATTCCTTTAGCTTCTAGTGAAATTTGATTTAGTTTCTTCTATATTTTCTTTTATGTCTTAACATTGCATTATATTAATCTTTTCCCTTTCTTATGGTAATCAAACTAAATTGATAGCATGGCACTTGCTTTTGGCTAAATTTTATATCGACCACAAGTGGGATATTTAGTACACTCTTTATGTTTTGTGTAGCTCAAGTCATCAGGCTGGAAAACTGAACGGCTTCTATCACCTATAATATGGAGGGCATACTGGATCTATGAACCCTTGGAAGAAAAAATTGATTAGGGTCATTAACGTTGTTCTAGACAAGGTGATTAGCTGCAGCCCTGGATGAATTGAGATTATTTGATGAGGAGATTGAATTTAGGGGCCTTTGTTTTGTTGCAAACTGGAATGATTATGTTTCAAGAGTTGGTGTATGAGTTTTTTCAAATATATGATTTCACCAAAGTTCTATCAAGATAAGGAAATTTGACTGGGTTACTGCTGCACTTGAACCTCATTTCTCTGTTGTAGCAGTTTAGAAAGAAAACATGGTGGCTTTTATTTATATACCTCAGGTGAATAGCAGTTCCCTTACACAGTTATTGTAATTGGTTTATTAAAGCTCATGCCTGACCTTGCATAAATTGGTATATTGTTTCAATTTTTCTCATGTTTAATTATCTTCTGCTGTTACAGAGAATCAGTTGTGTTCTGCATGAAGCAACTTCTAGGGCATTTGGTATATATATGATTATTCAACGGTAATTCAATCTAGGAGGATACTAAATGCCATACAAATCATGGTTGCCTATGTCAAAAGTTATTATTATTTTTACTTTTCAAAATTTAAATAATTCTTTTAGAAACTTAGTATATAATAAGTTCAGATTCAGCTGATCTCTGTCTAATCTTTGTTTTATTTTTCCCTTATGTACTATAGTTAGAATTGTAATTAGACTGGTTGATTTATATCATCCTTTGTAACTTCAATTTTTAATGAAATAAGGATATTCACTTGCTCTTCTGAACTATAGCTCATGTTTCTTATCTTGATATTTTTAGTTATGAGTGTGTACAATAGAAGAGGGAATATTGGCAATCAAAGATTGTATGGCATTTGGTATTTTTACTACTTGAACGACCATGGATTGATCCTTCCCAATTTCTACTCTTTTTGGTTACCTAGTCCTGTTAGTGGTTAAACAAGCAGCATTTTTTTTGTGAGGTATTCGATGCCAATGTTCATTTTCATGTACTAATACCCGCGTGAAAAAAATTGAGCAAGAAATAAGTGGCTAAAAGATCTTTATAAAACCATTCAAAATGACCATGTAACACATCTTCCGAAAAATATTTGACAAGTTTTAGATTGAGAATATAATGTGAGAGACATTCCAAGATTTTCCATAATCTAAATCTTAATTTATAACAAAAAGCACAACTATTACTACATTAAACTTTCCAATTTATCATTGTTCACAGGATGAACACTAGATGTCTACATACAAATATTTTAAATAACATATATAGCTTTTACTCCCTATAATATTTCATTTATGATTTGCCTCTAAAATTTCCATCAGTTTTAGACCCTTCAAAATTGTTTTACAATTTTAGTATCTGGTATTATTTTCTTAATTATAAAATCGTAAACTTTTGACATAAATTCCATTTATATTAGAAAATATTCATATCTATTCTATAATATATGGTTCACATATCATCAGTGAGACTAAAATCATAAAACAAATTTGTATAGGACAAAAGCTAATTAATTTTTTTTATAGAGTAAAACCATAAAATGGACAAAATCATATTTAAGCCTATTTTAAAAGTTAAGCTAGGCAATCTACCTGAAAAATGTGTAAAGTACGTGGTTATTTGAAGAGGCAATATATAATGATCAAATTCTTTACAGTTAACATCAAGAAGCTCCTGATGTTATCCACTTAGAGAAAACAAGGGGGTCAAAATTGAACTTACAATTCTTAACATATCCTTAATTACAACAATATCAGAACTAAGTTTTTCTTTCATGTCTTTTCTTGTACTTCCAAAACTCATCTTTCTGACTCCTCACTTTCACACCCATCTTAGTTTCAATCATACAAAGCAAGGCAGTCCTATCCTTGTTTTTTGGTGCAGATTTGGCATCCAGAAAATCATGGAGGCTCTGGTAAGAACTGACATCCATCATCTGCCCACTCTTGATCATCTGCTTGTGATAAAACAATGCCCTCTTAAAATCTCGAACTCGAACAAAGGCAAATATCATGGTTGAATAAGTTACAGAATCTGGTTTTAATTTAAGAACTGCCATCTCTTTCAATAGTTGTGGCATCTTTGAGGGTTGCCCTCCTCGAGCATACGCATTCATCAGCATATTATAAGTCATCACTGTTGGCTGCAATCCAAATTTTCCAAATTCAGATATTACATTTCTCACTTCCATGTAGAGACCTTGTTTAGCAAAACCATCAACAAGAATGTTGAACGTTGCACGTGTTCCTTCGACTTTCTCACTCAGCATCAACTTCCATATATTCATCAACGTTTCAGCATCACCGGCATGCCTAACCGCATCTAGTAAAGTAGTGTAGGTTTCTATGGAAGGTTTAAGACCTTCCCTTAGCATGTTTTCAAATGCCACACAGGCTTTCTCGTTCAAGCCGCTAACTGAATATGCATGGATCAGTGCTGTATAAGAATGTGAGGTGGGTTTGACACCAACTTTTTTCATCTTCAAGAAAGCATCTTCAGCCATGTCACTCATCCTTTTTTGCTTACCATATGCACTGATCAAACAAGTATATGATTCGGCGTTTGGCTTCAAGCCAACATTCTGCATTTCTGCCAGCAGCTTCTCCACAATCTTGGGTTGCATTCTTCTGCTGTATGCATGCATTAGAATGTTGAAGGTAGATGCAGTGGGCTTAATCCCTTTCAATTTCATCTCAACAAAAAGGCCCTCCGCTGCTTCTACGTGGTTGAATTTACGGTATGCATCCATCAGAGTGTTGTACACAAATGCATTTGAAGAAACCCCTTTTTTCTCCATTTCGGATTGGATGATGAGAGCTTCCCTCATCAGACCCTCAACACAAAATGACTTTATTAATGCACCTAGGACTTCTTCACTCCATGTGACCCCTTTTCTGTTCATTTTCTCAAAAAATTGCCATGCATCTTTTGCACTATGGCCAAGTTCTCTCATAATGTTAATCATAATAGAGCATGTCATATGATCAGGATGAATATTATCTGTTTCCATTGATTCATAAACCTTCCAAGCATCTTCATACCTAAAACATCAACAATAAACTCTTACAATTCCTTTTATTTCAGAGGGGAAAGCTTATCTAAACAATATGGAAACACTTGCAGAGTAGGAAGAAACACCTTAAGTAGTATGCAAGTCAAATGTGTAATATCCTATCTAAGAGAAAAAGGTTTTATAATATGATTAGTGGCCTGGCAATGCTAAGGTTTTTGGGGTCTCTACTAACGCTGCACCAGCCTCCTTTGTCAGCAATTTTTCTCAATATTAAGGATCACAAGTGACAACCAAGTTGCGACGGCAATTTAAATCATTGCCAAAAGGTACAAGCAATTTTGATTTTGACTAGCATCCTTTGTTACTTAGGGTCTTTTGATAAACTTCTAAGAGAAGAACATAAGAAGGAAAAATGAAATGCACAAGCTAATTTGTAGAAACGGGAGAAAAAAAGGAAACCATGTAACTATGCAATAATTGTGTACCTGCCACTAGACTGAAGACCTGAAATTGTGGCATTATAAACATGAACATCTCTGAACTCCACGCTGGATGGTAAGTTTCTGAACAAACCCAACAAATCATCACCCATCCCTCCTTTTCCCAACAATGGAAACAACACAGTACAAGCCCTAGGTGTAACAGGTGATGGTTCCTGCAACCTCATCCACTGAAAGAAACACAAACAACACAACAGGAGGTTGTCCTCCCCAAGTATTTCCAGAACCTCCCAGCACTCTTCCTCACTGACCCTTCCTTCATACTCAGCAAAAGCCTCCTCCAGAGTCAGATTTTGAGGCAAATTCCTTGCAAGCTGAACAATTTCCCCCACAATGCCCTCAGCCTCAGGCAATTCCCTCTTTTGACAACACCCCGTTTCTTCATTCTCCAAACCCATTTCAGGTTCTTCATCGTGGTCCGCGGCAAGGTGCCACGAGGTGTGAGGGTCGTTGTCAAGGTGCAATTTTTCTTCGTTTTGAGGGTCTTGGGAAGAAACCCACGTGTCAGTTTCGAAGAAATTGCAATTTGGATCATCTGGGTCATAGCCTTCTTCCTGTTGTTGGATGGAAATGGGGGCTGTTGAAGAGTGAGGGGCATTAGATGGTGATACACAGAGAGAGAGTGATGATGTTGGGGTTTTGGAGTGTGAGAGAAAGAATGGTTTTGAAAGAGAGTGAGTG